TGTATTTTATATTCCTATCAGCGAACAATCAATTACTAAATCTATATTATTTGGTAATATAGTTTTAGAATTATTAAAATATATTATATATAATTAACAATTGAGGCTTTTTTTTAATAATTTGATTAATAATAATTCAAACTTAAAATCATGATGAGAAACGTAAGTTCAACCCTAACAATACCTAGAGGGGGGTGAATAGGCATTTGATGTGGAATTAAAATGTTTCTATGAATTAAATAGCGACAAGTCACTTTTTCATTCTTTTATAGATGATTGATCATTCAAGTCAATTTGTCCTAAATTGAATTACCACAGTTGTATAATCAATCAATACAATGAAAGCAGTAATCAACACCGGAATGATCACGGAGAAACTCAATTGGGAAAAACTCCGGGCACTTTGTCAGTCAGTCCACTATAAACGAATTTAACAACTTACAATCTACCAGACTAGACGACCCATACTATCTGATCGCCCCATTGCACTCCTCACAGCTCTTCGTGGATCCCGTGCTCTCCTACACCAATCCTCAACTGCTATTGACAAAGCTCTTCGTGGAATTTGCTACCCTGCAGCACTCCAAGCCTTGTGAATTCGTCTATCTCCCGTGGATCACGAAGAACAATCCGTTTTTTCACAGATTGGAACTCTAGTCACCTTCCTCGATCTTCAGTACCTCTTATAGACATGCAGGAAGTTTGGCTTTTGGTATTTGGATATCGAATCTGATGTTTTTCTCACTACCAAGAACGAATCTCAAAGATACATGAAGGTTGAAAGCTAAGAAGATGAAAGAATACCGACAACACAATGTTAGCTTATTGTTCAACCTTAGAAAAACTCGTTCTGAGGCTGTTTGATATTTATAGGTAGGGTAGAAAGAAGATGGGCCGAGACAAAGGCCTTTAAAACGCAAAAATAAAATTTCTCGTATAAAATTGTCGCTCGAACGAAGAGCTAACGACAGTCGAGCGACAGTGCTTCGTTTGAGGGAAGGAGGGGCGATAGTCCAACGAAACAGTTTCTGTTTTTGTAGTTCGAACCAACCATTGGCGATAGTCTAGTGAAAATTC